CTAGACTGTAGAATAAGTACATAGGAAAAAGATAAAGCTGATAAAATGCTTAATGCAAATAAGCAAAGAAAATTTAATTCATTTGGAACAATTGAAGCAACTACAAAACAAACAAAAGAGTAATTAAAAGTAAAAGACAATGTAAGTGGTCACTGTACAGTGTCCAGCAACAAGAAAATGGTACCCCATTTTCTAGTATACAGACCATTGGTGTCAGGGAGTTAAATCCTTAGTGCTTGAGGTTCATGGATGCTTTCTTCATGTCTTTTGCTTTGTCAAAATCCATATGTAGTTTGATTTACTGTGATGTGCTTATGTATTTGTCTCATCTAATAATATTTCAACAGAAAGTGTGAAAACAAAAATGAAATTTATTGTTTGAAAAAAATATGGAGCATGATATTAGAAAACAGGTTGGCATTAGTTAACAACCCTTAACAATTATTATGCTTTTTTAATTTCTTACATTTAATACTTTATATGGCCTCCAGAATGTTGCTGAACTTCTTTCATGTGCTGTAGCAATGATAGGCCTAGGTTCTTTGCCCAGAACTCCATAACCCATTAATTGCATGATTAAAAATGGCTAGTGGCCATTACTGTGGGCTTGTTGGCATGTATTTGCTATCTTTGATGGGCTAATGGCACTGGGTATGTCATTATGCAGTGTCATCTGTGACTGCAGGACTTCACGCCTTATGAAGGAAGCTGGTGACTCTGTCTTGCAAATTACTTTTTCTTATATGCCACAAGTTTTCTATAGTATTGATATCCAAGCCTTTTCTAAGTCAGTCTTTAATATAAGTCATCAAGCCAGTTTTTCAGATTTTACCGTGTAAGCAGGAGCACCATCTTATTGCAAAACTTTGGCACTACCTAGTTTGTTGGAGTCAGGGAAATAGTTATATATTAGCTCAAAATAAACAAATTGGCTGGCAACACAAAGTTACCTAACCCCTTATTGGGGAAGGAACCCCAGACCATCAAAGAATTTGGGTGTTTTATAATTCCACAAATAAAATGAGGGTTGGAGTCACTACCCTTAAGCTATCAGACATTTCTACCTGTGTTGCATGTCACTTACAGGCATCTTCATTGCCCTACAAGAGGGTTAGCCAGTATTCCTCATTCCAGGTTGAGGGTGATCAGATCAAAATTGTTAAGGAAAAAGTGTTAGTGCTATTGTTATATCAGTTTCAGGAGAAAAGTCAGAAGGGAGAGAGTCCAGGGAGGGGGGGTTGTTGCAACACTTGTCATTTGTATCCATGGGAAGTGGAAGGGATAATGGGGAATGAAATGGGGATGATGCAGCTGAAGCAGGGGGGAATGGAATGTGTTGGCAGCCAGTGGGAGGAAGGGGTGCAGGGGGAACATGAGTTGTAGGAGGATGGATGTCAGAAGTTACTTGGAGTATGTTATCTTGGTTCATGATTAGATAGAGTTGAATGCCTTTGAGAGTTTCTGAAGTGTAGTTAATTTCAGAGGTCTGAGAAACAAAAGTTTTTTTGAGGGGGATAAGAGGGGACAGACATTTGAGGGGCAGAGGGAGAGGTGTGTGTAGGGGATGTAGTAGAAGATGGGATGGAACATTTAGCTTGTCTCGTGCGACGAGTTGAGCAAGGAGGAAGAAATTGGAATGTCTGGAATAGTGGGGAAGATTAGGTGTCTGGATTTAGAATGGCAAAAGAATTTGACTGGGAGAAGGAAGGGATAGAAGTGGGATGAGGAAGAGATACTAAGGGAGATGTATAAACATTTTGGGAGGGAGGGGTAGGGAGCCGGCAAAGGACAGTATTCGGGTAGGAAGTAAGAGAAAACTCGTCTGCATGCTTCCTACCTTGGCCTCATGTAATGTGAGGCCAAGTTTGAATCTGAGATTTGCCACCTAAGAATCAAACTAGGTAGGGCATCCCCTATAATAAACATTATCAGAGCCACCAGAATTGTGCAGATGTGCAAGCAGTTTGAATCGATTTATGACCAGACTGTGAGCAAGCAGTGTTTGGCAGGGTGGCAAAGTTGCCAGCATTTCTGACACTGATGTGGGGAGAGGTTGATATGTAGGACAGGGAGGCACTCTCCACCAATATAAACTTGAATTGGGAGGTCATGTCTATGGAAAGTAATCTTGGCAATATTAGTAGATTTATGGCAGCCTTCGGGAATTGTGTAGCATTTTACTGATACTTAATCATAGTTGAAGGCAGGCAAAGTTCTCCACAATCTGACCAATCCTTGTAGACAGGGCATTGGGGAGATGGAGATAGATCTGCTACAAGTATTGAGGGATGGATGAGGCTCGGCAGAAAGGGGTTTGCCAGTGAAGTCAGTCAAGGTTGGTAATGCTTGTGATTCAGATGTTATAGTGATAAGGCAGTAATCATCAGGGCAGCTGTGGAAGGAGACTTTGTCTATTTGTTTTTGAAGACATGTCTAGAAGAGGAAAGTTTTGTCAGAGTAAGGACTGTAGAAGGGATCACAAAAAATCAATCCCATTTGGCTGGGCTAAACAGAGTATTCAGAAGATTTGTAGAGGTGGAGGTAGTAGAAGCATGGGGACATGTTGAACAGGGAGTATTGTTGTAGTGGTGGACAATAAGTAAAGCCTGCAGAGTCAGTAATCGAGGAGGGTGTAATAGATGAAAAAAGCTTTGGAGTGGAGGAGATTGAAGTGAAGGATATTGGGGAAAGGAGGAATGTTTTCTGGAGGTTAAGTAATTACCTGGGTGGATGGTTTGGCCAGGACTGAGGTGATAGTAGGTATTGAGGGTAGTGATCAGTCATGATCAAAGGAGAGACTGGTCTGGAATCAGGAGAATTTAACATTAGGTGTGGCTAGTGATAAAGGGGCAAGCCTCATTGGTCCCTGATAACGTACAGATCTTCATTATTTGGCTTGGACTATGTTAGGGAGAGAAATGGTCCACCCCTCAGGGTAAGGGCAGGCAACTAAACAGGAATATTTTATCCATGGTTCCCCAGGCCATTCATGTGTTGGATTCCCTAACATATGATTGCAACACATTTGCCAGTGGTCATTTACCATTGCGTTTACCAGTGATGGCAAAGTGGGATTCATGAAGAAATGGTAACCTGTATTGACTGAGTTCCAGTCGTAAATCGATCCATTCTAATGGTAGCCAACAGAGGGCTTTAGTAAAGCAATTCCACCATAATAAGTGGCATGTATTTACTTTTAGGTAAACAGAACTAGACAGCGAGATTTTAAAAATCCTTGTCACAGCTAAACCAGCATATATTAAAAAAATAGTAAATTCATTCAATCTTATCCATCATGTGGGATGTTCATAGACTTCCCTGGCTATTTATGTATAATAGGAACCAATGCAAACAGTTATATTGATATATCATTGTTTACCACAAATCAGACTGTCCAGTTTTAATTTATTTATTCATTTTTCATCATTATTAAACAAAGAACCAGGCCAAATACAATTTTCATTCATTGCTATCTGTCATCAAATAAAGGAGATATTTCAAGCTCATTCTCGCCCATGCAATTTGGAGTTTGTCCTTTGCCCAGACAACGACAGACACAGTTGCTATACTTGTTTAACGTTGGTATTGCCAGTTTATATGTCAGTAAGGTAGTTTTTTCTATAGAATTTATTTAAATTATTTCAGAGAAGAATTCTGTGAGAGTTCACATATTAATTCATTCCATTGGATTTTATTCTTGCTAGGTTCATGTGAAATTTGCATTTTTTTTTTTTTGCCATACACATATTGTGATATTTGGTTGCCATCATACTTATTTTATCAGGTATAAAAAAACAAGCCAAAAACTTCACTTGAATGCTGATTTTTGGATATGATAACACGTGATGACATCATCTTCCCAGAACTTACCAGTGCTCCGACCACTGGTAAAATTTACCATGGTAACTCTGATGGCAAGTTGTTAGTGAATACCAACCCTGGTCTGTTTACCTTGGTAACTGTAGTTACCAGTGATTTTACCATCGTAAGTGTGCTAGTGCATCTGGCCCATGACTGGCATAGTCAGCCTTTCATCCTTTCAACATGGCTCTCTAACTTTAGGAAATGGATATTTGAAGAGGTTGGAGAGAGAGGAAAAAAAGAAACAGTGGGGAAGAAAAGACCTTGCAAAATTAGTTTTGAGGAGGGCTGAGGCCAAGGCAAGGGCAATTGGGTCTCAGTCCCACTTGTGGGGAGTGTAGCATTATTACTAATTGTATTGGATAGGGAAAGGGAAGGTTACATATGTATAATGTGCTTTTTTTTTTTTTTTTTTTTTTTTTTTTTAATACTCTGGGATAGATAGAACTATAGTCAGGAGGTGTCATATTACTGAGATAGTGATGTATCAGATCTCAGAATTTAGAAATTTGTGGATTTAGTTACAATTTTGCTAAAATGTATGTGGATAAAAATGCCCTCTTCTTAGAAACACCCATAAATACAGATGTTCAATGATGAGACAACCACACTTGGGAGCAGTATAATGTATCACTCATTGCAACATGAGATTTCTTGGGATAGGGAGGGAAGATTACCCGCAATTATGATTTAGAACATACATTATTTTTTTAGGGTATAAGACAGACACAAAAAGCCATAATTAAAAGATGCAGGGTCAATGATGTATCAGATCTTAGTTTAACCTCTTTAATTGGGGAAGTAATTCATCCCTTTTCATACCGTCTTTTCAATAATCATAATGAGTGCTTATGTATTGATTGAAAAATAATGAAAAAAGTAGCACTTTATACAATGCATGGGCAGACATAACTTCAATAGCCAAATTTAGTATGTATAAACTATCAAAGACAATATGTAAAATCTTTCTCATTCTAACACTAGCAACAGCATAGATAAGGTTCTGGGACAATTACCAAAACTATAAATGGTGTAATTTGTCTTTCAAGGGTTAAGTCTAGATTGTGAGTATGGATGTTAATAAATTATTTAAACCAGTATGAATACTATAAACACATCTTTATTTGTCTAGAAAACAATTTCACCAATTGTAGATAGAAACTTTAATTTCAGTTTGATTAGAGAGAGAAATAAAGTTGAAAGCATAAGTAAAACTGAAATAACAATAGCTTCTAGCAAAAGAAAATCAGTATTATTTGTATATAAAACTATGCGAGAGTTTCTTCTTGTTCTTGGTACTCCTTGATTCCTCGCATTACAACAGTCTTCATTAAGCAAGAAGTTCCAGAGGTGAAACCTCTACTTGTATGGATGTGATCAAGTAACTTCTTTATAACTTGCTTTCTCTGTGCTCTTCCCTGAAAAAAGGAAAGGGTTAGAAAGTATAACGTGACTTAAAAGAGAAAGATAAAATGTTACCCATCAGGGAAAATAGGCAAATAGTATCTTTATCTATATATATAAATTTGCACACAAACACCTAGATTTTCTACATTGCACTTACTGAATTAGACCACCAAAAGTGGACAAGCTGATGCTCATCCAAAAAGTTGTGAAATTCCTCTAGGGTGAGAACATTTTTGTACTTCTCTCGAGAAGGAGAGACAGCCAGCACCAGTCCATTTATATTTGGCTTTGCCCCAATTATGCTCAAGTTGTCCAGGACATTTGAAATGGTTTGCAAGCTGTCAAAATATTTGTGAAAATTAACCAACTTTTCTGATTACCTCTGCAAAATAAAGATAAATGACAAATGGCTCTTAAGCTTTTTCATTAATATTGCACTAATCAAATTTTATAGTATTAAACTCATTTCCTTATTTCCATTTGTTTAAACCAAGAGTGATTGTACGTACCTTGATAATATTTCAAAACATACTAATAAAATGAAGAAATTTCCTTTCTGCAACATATCCATAGTTGGCTTGTCTGCATTTTCCCTGTAAATACATGACCAATCTGGTGACAAGTATAATCTGATAATGACTATGTAAATAATATCACGCAGAATAAGATATTTTATGTTATTGGAAGTAAATATATGATCCTGAATGACATTTCTAAATACTTCTGTAAATAAGCCTAAGTGAACTTTATTTCACCTTTATTTAACGCAGTTACAATTCAATGTATAGCTAATCTTGTCAGTGTCTATTTACAGAAAACTATCTGAAATAGTAAATATTTAATTCTCACATACACTTTCAAGTTGATATCAGACTCATGTTTTTTTCTCATGGATAACTGTGCTTGATAACATAGCATCTCGGTTCTGATGATATCACCAACACTCTTGTTTCCTGCTATCTGTAAAATATATGTTCAGGGTTACTTTAATTTAAAGAGCTTTTCTATGGAGTTATTCCATTGTTGTAATAAATCATTACATATAACAGAAGTATCACATACCACAATATTCAGGGATTTAGAAAAAGGGCTGTTTAAAGATGTCTGATAATAATTTCTCATATTGTCTTTCATTTGCATCACTGGCAGCTGTTGCATGGGTAGATTGTTTTTCTTTTTTTGTGGCATATAACACATGCCAAGGGTTGTGATTTTTATGGACTGACAAGCATGGGTGACTTCAATGGAAGCTTGAAGTTCAGCTGATCTTGAAGTGATGTGTTTGGCTGGTTCAGTTGTGTCTGTTTGTTTGCTTATTTTGTTCTGACTGTCCTCCTCGTCCTGAAAACGCTTCTGTTGGATAGAAAGGTAAGATTAGTGCTTCATTTAAAATTACCTGTAAAACTTAATATTTTTGGTACAGATGAAAAGCCCCCATATGGAGAGTTTTGGAGGTCTTGCATTGTAAAAACTTTATTCAGGTATATAAGTTGAAGAGACCAACGCGCGTAGATAGAGGGAAATGGACACCGCCATCTTGTAGAGTGGAAGAAATACAGTGGGATAGAACATAAATTAAGCTGCAGTGGCCTCATGGTCACCGCAAAGTGACCACAAGGCTCAAATTGTAAGTCCTGCAACTTACTTACCTTGCCAGGAATAACAAAACACTGACTGCTTAATGCGATGTCTGAAGTAGTTTCTGTATTACTATGTGCTTGTCAAAATATTTGGCTAATTATCAGAGGCTGCTTTTACAGTCTTTTAATAATGTTATACTTCATTTGCGTATTTTAAGATTTGTCTATACCCTTACTTAGAATCGTCTGCATCAAGTGTTTCACACTTCCTTTCATCAGCCGCCAGGTTAGACAGTTCAGAGCCGGTCATTTCAAGGTAGATCACTGATGAGAATTGTTGTATTTGCTATGTTGTGTTGATTCGGGGTTATTTTTAAGACTTAAACAGTGGCAAGGAAGAATAATTAGACTTAAGTAACCATCCCAGTTTAATATCTGGGCCCATCAAGAGCTCCAAATGCTGAAAAATTATTAAAATCCAGACAGTTAAAAGATGGGGCAGAACCCCCATTAACCCTCCTATTGGGCAGTGCCAAAGAGTACGCATAGTCACAGCAACTTAAATTGGGTAAATTTGGAAATGCAACCGTACAGGCTATTTTGCACAAATAAAATAATTTTCCGATAGCTTTCGTCGTGTTTCGAACAAATCTAGCACTCATTTCCTTCACAAATGAAGCACAGTTACGATATCAGTCCCGATAGTAGGGGAGGGCAAGATACATATTAGGGCACTGGACTTCCACTGGAAGAACACTGTGATCTCACAGATATTGCAAACATGCTTCATTGTTGCGATGATATTTTGCGAGAAAGTCAAAATAATTGTTCTCACAAGCTGTGCACTGTGTAGCCATGATTAAATTGATTTGAATTTCAACTGCTTTCTCCTAGGCCCAGCTTCTATTGTCACGTAATGATCTATTTCATATCTGATTGGTTCTATTGAATGTCTATGGTCACGTCACGTTCACAAACGAATCTAAGTGGCTTATTTGATTTCCCGCGCATACGTCTTCCGCTTCAAATCCTTCCATCCTGTTATATTAGGCTGGTTTATTGGTCAATACGTTTTTTTGGGGTTTGGAACATGTCAATTCCTGTAGAATTTTGCTGAAAGGTGGGTTGGGTGACCCGAGTTTTTGAATTCTGGCGTGTCAGTTCGTAGAATTTCAAAGATGTTATCTAGATAATTTTCTATATTACGTCCGCATAACCGATATCGACGATTTTGGTATCGTTGGATTCCTCTCACTCTTACAATGCAAATATGTAGGTTTTATTGCGCGGAAACCCCGTTAGCGACAAACTTGGCCCCATATCGGGGCGACGATGTCGGAGCGGCGGACGTAATATATAAAATTACCCTAATAATATAACCTCACAGTGAAAATAATCATGGTTATTCACATGACTTTCCATTGCAGGGGGGCCCCTGCGACCCCCCTGGGGGGCTGCCGCCCCCAACCCCCGCCGAGGAAACAAAACCTCCACCACGTATTCACGGCAGGATAGAGCGCACACGAACTAGATGCGGAGTGATAACCTACAATAACCTAGGATTTTTAAGGTACTAACCTGATTGATTAATGCCGCTAATTAGTAGGGAGGGTGCTCCTTTGCCGCAGAATGTGAAGGAGGCAGGGTGCGTCCGGCTGCCCACACCTACCGCAGGCTTTCTCCCGACGGAGGAGGCCGTGGCGGAAGCACATCTCTAGCATTTTTTCCTGGCTAGTTGCAATTTCGCGCAGAAAATCCGTCTCCGAATACGAGCACCCTCCACACTCGGCCATCGCGGCGGCTATGACTGACTTCTGAACGCGACGGTTATTTCGGTTAGGAATACGGATGTCGTTATTCCAGAGGACGGGAAACTCGACCTTGAGGCCATCGGTGTAACATCGAAAGAGGCGCAAAACCCGCCACGAGGGCGGGCCACCCTGTTCATCCTGATTATACTACAATCGTCTCTATATACAATGCTGACTATGCCAAGGTTAATATGCTGATTCAGTGGGAATTTACGAGGTAATTGTAATATTACGCCCGCCGCTCCGACATCGACGATGATTGTGTAACGCTCTAGCCTGCCGGGAATACGTGGTGGAGGTTTTGTTTCCTCGGCGGGGGTTGGGGGGCAGCAGCCCCCTGCAATGGAAAGTTATGTGAATAACCATGGTTATTTTCACTGTGCGTTATATTATTAGTGCTATTTAACCCCATTTTCCCTGGAACCTTCATGCCCTCCCCTGCTATCGGGGCCAAGTTTGTCGCTAACGGGGGGTTTCCGCGCAATAAAAACTATATATTTGCAATGTGGAGAGTGAGAGGAATCCAACGATACCAAAATCGTCGATATCGGTTATGCGGACGTAATATAGAAAATTACCTGTCTATTTTCGTAGATTTCATTGGCAGTTTTTTTTTTTTTTTTTTTTTTTTGGTGCTAGCTTAAGCATTTTTGATAATTATTTGTATTTAAGCCTTTTACCCATATTTCCCTGATATATTTCAAGCACTCCTCCAGCTTACTAACAGAACTATCAAATCAAGATTGCTGATGAAGAAATGGTACTCAATCTCCTGAACAATTAATTCGTAGAAGAAACAACACCGAGAATCAACGAAATCATTGGATTTCCTGCAGAAAAACATTTTTTTTTTTTTTTTACTTAGTCTCTGAGACAATGTGTTGCTCTATGTATTAAATACCTCTATCCAAGACTACTAAACCTGTTAATGCAAAGGAGAGGTCGAAGAATCCTTCAATCCCAGTTTAGCTGGTTTATAAGTTGGATCCAAGATATTACCCTGTACATTTATATACCGTTGTTGCAAGCACTACTCACCTTTATATTCGTCGGAACGATGTCGTAAATGGAGACCCTGGGACCCTTGGGGCTGTCCATGGCGCTGCTGGCGAAGGACAGCCGCTTCTTCGCTATTGTCTTGTCGTCTCCTTGCTTTAGGATCGATTTTCGACTCTCGCCTTTCGTGTCCATGGTTCAGCTTTATAATATTTGTTCAGGGAGAGAGGGCCGATGCTTGTCACTCAGGGAATATTGTCTTTTCCACACTTCCCTTTGCTGAGGTCTTCGATTTGTTTGAATTGCGTTGACGATTAAACCGACAAGGGTTTGTTTAC